TGAAAAAAAAATCAGAAACTGGAAATCAAAATACAATTTAGAAAAGTTGTGCTATAAAAGTTGTGCTACATAGGATGCTCGGTCAACAACTCCGACAAAGCAAAACGCGCCGCGTTGCAACGAACGCTGATGTGGTGCCAGGTAGGAGGCCATGCAGGCGATCCACGTGCCCGCGATCGGATGACCCAGATCCGCTACCACGCACACGGACAACCCAGATGCGTACACTCCCCAGACACGATCGGACGGTCAAATTTAAACGTGATCAACAGTTCAAATCTACTTCCTATTTAATCGCGATCGGACGGTCCAGATCAAATGCGATAAACAGCTCAGATTAAAAAGAGACAGATATAAATAATCTTCTTCACACCAAACCCTAACCCTAGCCGCTAGACACCCTCACCGGAGAAGAAGATCCAGCCGCCGGGAAGGAGAGTCGCCGCCACCCGCCACCGCGTTAGAGCCAGTTCTGACTGCCAAAAAGAGGTAAAAAAATTTTCATTTACTCGGAATTCAATTTTAAGCACCCCCATGACCAAATCGGAGCCAAACGACCGACAAATTGGCCAGAAACCGCAGGCAAAGCCCAGGGCGCTATCGCAGAAAATTTCAAAAACTACCTCCAATGAGGCCTTTTTCGATTCCCGTTCTGTGAAATTTTTCTACTGTTGTAATCACCGTTTCCTTCTCTACAAGTTGACCGAAACAAAACACTCAACCGCAAAAGTGAGCCAGCCGCACCAGGGAGCCCTGTCGCCAGTGAATTTCGATTTTTCATTTTTTTTGGGCCAATCAAGCCCCCTTAACAGGTTTTTTCGCAGAGATTGATGCAAAACAGGACAAATTCGGCCGAAAACAGCTGAGAATAGCCAACCCGAGGTGTACCACCGCCGTGCCAGAATTCCGAATTTGGCCAAAAAGCGGTCCTGACATTGTTTTTGGGTTTTTTGGGATATTTGTAGGTACTTATAGCGCGTTTTAATTCCCGAAAAAAATTCAGTGAATCCAGAAACCGCCAGTAGGCGCAGTCAACAAGTTTCGCTTTTTGAGCATTGAATTGAGTAAGAATCTATCACCCTATTCTCTGTTATGAAATTGAAATCAAATTAATAATAATACGGTATTTTGTATAATTTAAACAATATTCATAATTAATTACGGATTATTAATGGAGCCAGAACCAGATATTATCTACTGTTGTTTCTGTTGATTGTTTTTATAATTTGAATGCATGATAGTATCTGATTGATTGATTTCATAATTTTGAATGCATGCATTGGTTGTTTTATGTATTTACGGTTGAATTGGAAAAAATTGAGATTAAACAAAAACGAAAAATTGCATGATTGTGAAATGGTGGACGGACCGGGACATAGGGAACCCTATCGTGAATGTTGTCTCATACTAGACGAGATATCGAGATTTGATAATTTGACGCTCATACTGAACTGGGTATGGGAACGGCCTGTTTCACCCTCATACCAGACGGGGTATTGAGGTTTAATAATTTGGCACTCATAGCGGACGGGGTATGAGGACAGCCCGTTAATTTAAAAAGTTAAAGGAAAGAGTTCACACATTATGGGGACATCCCTATAAACCCCTATGAATACCAGTAGACTGATAAAAGAATAAAATAGTTGTTCAAATCGATTACATATGAAATCATGATCTGTGTTATGTTATTATCTCTATAAGTTGTTTTGTAAATTTCACTACAGTAAGTAAATGGTAAAAGATTTTGTTTATGATAAATGAATTTATTTAATTAAGAGTTCCATTAATTGTTTTTTATTTTTCTACCAATCTTCATTTTTGTGTCAGTAAGTAGCGTGATATTCTTACTAATATAGTGTACCTCATTCCTTATTTAACAATTTCATATCAAGAGAACCAGGATCCAGAACTCGATCCACAAGAGAGTTGCGAGTAAGATATCAGTTTTATTTATTTTCCGTTTATTTTCTTAATTTTTGTATTTTCTTTAAAAATGGTAATTTTCGTAACATTATTTGGTACTTTAAATTATTGTGTAAAGAATGTAAACCCTAACTAATTATTTTGCTTCCGTAATTAATTTATGATTTATTTCCTTTAGAATTCCGGAGTCGTTACATCGTTTCTCCAATGTCAAAATTATCATCAGCATACCTCTACCTTTTTTTTTTGAAATAAAAAGTATAAATATATTAATAAAGCACCAAGACGGTGCCACCCATGTCCAAAAAAAATTTACAATTCAGTACAGCAATCAATCACATACCCAAATTATTCCACTCTATACAAATCGTGCGCAAGTAAAAGAGACCCAAATAAATGCAGCCACCTATCTCTAATTTTCTAATATCACTATCCACCCTATCAAAAGTCCTCCTATTTCTTTCCTTCCATATAACCCAAAATATACTCAAATTTATTTATATAAATGCCATCCCAAACCCCAAATTTCCTCCCTCACTCCACCACAACCCAGCAAACACCAAGAAGACCATACATAGTCCGATTGTTGTAAACAGTCAGACACCATAACAACAGATAATTGCACGATTCAGCCTCCTGTTTGCACATATAGCAGCCATTCACCATCACTCTACCTATCTTCATGAAGTTGTCAATAGTCAAAATGCAATTCCTACTAGCTTCCCAAGCAAAGAAGCAATCTTACGTGAATCTTCATTCCTCCAAATCTGTT